TAAACATATAGGAAAAAAACCTTTATATAAGCACAATACTTTATAAGCACATTTTTTAAAAAAAGTCACTATGATCCCGATGGTGTGATTATAGAGAATTGAAAGCTTCTGGCATCATATGCACATAAATATATCTTTGCTGAAAAATAATTTTAGGAACCAGAGTTTTGTTTTCATGAGAAGTTTGTGTCGATTCAATAAAATCAATTATTAATTTATTACAATTTCTACATATATTAGAATCATGATTTTTTTTTTTTATCACTTTTTTTGCGCATAGGATACATACATACATTATCAATTATATCTTGGAAACTTACGAGTTTACAATAGTGAACTTTATTAAATTATATAAACTTTGTACGAAAAGCCATTTTGATCACAATTGAATTCTAGTTCGGTCAATTATATAGAATCTGTATCTTAATATAGAATATTCGAATTCGTGTAAATATATATCCATGGAATGAATTTAAATTCTAAATACAGGAGTTTTGATCAGAGGTTTATCTATTTGTTAAAATAAATTAAAAAGCAGGTGATGATTATGATCTTAAATATGTTTAAATCCAGATTTAACTATTCGGATTTTAATCATCACCTGTTTTAAATCGGTGAAAAATGTTTAAACCTGTTTTTTTAACATCCCTAAATATACGTAGCTTAATTACTATTTATTTCCCGCAACGGCGGGAATAAGCCCTGGTCATTTGGGGGCCCGAAGGGCCCTTAGCAGGCCGAAGATCTACCGGGTTATTTCCCCGTAGCGGTGAAATAAGGGTATTATTCTTCGTTTTTATATGATGTCATGACGGGCTTTACGACTCATAATCATAAAAAAATCGAGTTTCTAGCAATGTTTGTTATTTCCTCAGCAACGCTTGTTATTTCCCCGGACTTCCGGGGAAATAACAAATATTGCTAGAAACTCGATTTTTTTACTGATTAAAGTAGTGATTATAAGTTGTAAACCCGTCATACTATCATATAATCAATCACAAAATGACTTCTCTATTCATAGCAAAAAATTCGGTTCCCTGGATCATTAGGTTTATTGCTTTTATAAATTTCTTCCGTCAATTTCTTCAGTTTCGTCACCTTCTGTCAGTTTCATCATTTAGTTATTGAAGGGATTAATTGAAAAAAAAAACGAAATTAGGTTTCATCTTTCGTCAGCGCGAAACCTTCAGATTTCGCCTAAATATGCACTGTAGTAACGGTTTTGAAATAGAAGTCACATGCGCAGAGTCTGTTATGGAATAAACTTACTTTATAAAGAATAAAAATCTCTTTGAAAGTATAAAATACGGTTTTTTGTTTGTTTTTGTTGCAGTAGCGAGCAGTGTTTAAAAATTCAGAAAAAAAAAAACGATCAATATTGTATATAATTTATATTTATATATTTCGGATTTTCGGATAAATAATTTAGGATAGCTTAGCTATGTTCCGAAAATAAAGAATTCTACCGATACAGCAAACACGTAACTTATCTTCTTGTTGGCACAGACATATAATCACTATTATGCGAGTAAAATTATCGCTGTTTTCGAAATGGTTGAAAATAACAAGCAAAAATTTTTGTAAATATCGTGAATACTCGAATACTCGATTATATTAGCAATAATAACAATTATTATATGTATGTACAGTACGTATATAATTTGGAATCAATTTTTGATCAATGTGATTATTGTCGAGTATTCAAGTATTTATAGTATTCACAAAAAAATTTTTGTTAGTCTTTCGAAAACAGCGATAAATCCTTATAATAAATTGTGCAAAATATTCGATATTTTATTTCTTCATTTTGAAAATTTTTGTCAGTCAATTAGCAATGCGAACAAGTCACTTGATCTTGCTTTGATGTATTATGAATTTCAAACTTTAAATCGGGTTAAGTAAATAATTACCCATGCTGCAGCTTGAAGCAAAGTTTGATCCACATTTCAGCATTTACGTCGATCATTAGTGCTTTCGCATTTGTTTTTGGATGTCCTAAAATTCCTAAATTGTCCCAGATTATCCTAAATCGTCCATATTTTTACTAATATTTTTATTTTAAGATAATCCGAAACCAACTTTATAGCATATTGCAGTATTGATTGAAAATCGATGCTTATAAGTACGTACGAACTTCGATCTTAAATCAACGTGCTAAGGTATGAGTATACGCAGTATAGAGAAATTTTTTTTTTACCATTTCGAAAACCGCGATAAACCATCTCTATAAAATACACGTGCTTCTTGTGCATATCAATTTTTAAACGCTAGTAGCGGCTGCATTTGCTTAAGGACAGTCTCGACTAACTAAAGCTTATGTCGTGACATCACTAGCTCGAACATGGTCCATCAGCTATATGTCCCAGCGTCTCTAACGCTACGCACCACCAAAGAGCTAACTCTTTATTCCATAATCATCATTTTTCTAGTTTATGTAGATATTGTATTTATAGCAATTTATAATATGATATCCTGCCCTTAAATGTAATGGACTTGCATGAAGATATTGATCAATTGGTTATACCAAATCTATATATATTTGTTATAAAGAATTACGAACAACATTATAGAGAAACGACTGTAAATAAATTACAAATTAAGATATTTATTCAATCGGGTTCTAAGCTTTACGATGACGCTGCATAGTTGCATCATTTATTTATTAAGAAATTCCCACAAGTTTACAGTTTCCTTATATGTATATATTGGAAATCTTTATATACAACCGCTACAGTGTTATTATTATCTTCTTTTCAAATTTCTCTTAAGCTCAAACTCAACATGTTGGTTTTGCAAAATTTCATAGGTGGAGAATTTTTAGACGCAAAGGTCGCAAACTTCATAGATAGTTATAATCCTTCAACTGGAAAGGTCTGTATATATAAATATATGTAATACTGTTTTTTTTTTTAAGAAAATTCTATATTCGATTAATAAAATAATTAAAAAAGGTGTATGCAAAAAATTCCGGATTCTACAGAAGATGATATAAATCTCGCAGTTGAAGCTGCTCATACAGCATTCTCAAAATGGTCAAAAACACAGAGATCCGTCCGTGCTAATATAATGTATCGAATTGCGGATATTCTTGAATCTCGTCTAAAGGAATTCGCTGAAGCTGAAGTACGAGATCAAGGCAAAACAATTACTTTCGCGACAAATGTCGATATAAATAGAGCGATTTATAATTTTCGGTACTTTGCTGGCTATATTTTACATATCGAGGAGAAGGCTAGCTTTCTTGATGGTAGAGCCTTCAATTATGTTAAAAGAACTCCTTCTGGTGTGGCTGGGTTGATTTCTCCGGTAAAGCAGTTAGTAATCTTGAATTTATAATTTGTTTTGCTATTCTAAATGGATCTTTTTGTATTTAACACAGTGGAATCTGTAAGTATAACACCATCAACGTTTACCCTCATAAGCAGACCTTCGTATGATTGGCTGTTTAAATCAATTTAATTTTACATTATTTATACAGTTTAAAGTACTTTTTAAAAGAAAGAAAACTACTACGAATAAACAAAAAAGAAGTATATAGAAAGTTTTATTAGGGTTGTAGGACTCCACTATTAAAA